AATTGGCAATCTCTTTTCACTTACACATCGTTTTCGTCTCATCTTATGACCGACATGAATGCCAATCCGCATTATGTTCTCTTTTTAATTAACAAGATTTGCTTTTTATACCACAATTTGTCACAATGGCACACGTTTTTTTAATAGAAGCTTCGCGTAATGTTGTCCCTCCCCGTTTCAGCGCGACTCAAAAAATTATATTATTTTTCTGTTTTTTTTTCGCTTTTGCTTTGGTTTCTGTTATTGTTTGCTGTGCATTTTTTAATAATTTAATAGAAATTAATTATAACATTTGAGATTAAAATATAGAATTTGTAGATTATTACAAGAAGTAACAGCTATTTGATAATAAAAGTTTAAATAATTTGTCTTTCTTAACAATATGTCCAGCTATTTTCTACTTGCTTACAATATGTTTTACGGCACATAGATACTTTTAAGTGTCTAAGTTTATATGTTCGTATACTTTTTACTTGAGCTTAACTTGATATTTGTCAATTGCTGAAGGTTCAAAGCACTTGAACTTGTTTCAATTGTAAATATGTCATGCAAATCATAATAAATTTGAGTAATGAGTCTGAATGGTATGGGAATGTTGCTTTATAGTTGAAAATTCGATCGTATTTAGTTTATATAAGAAATAAATTTAATGGCATAACATAATGTTATGTTTGAAATGTATTTCGATAAAATTGAAACTGTGCATTGAGTAAAATATTTATGAGTATAATATTTCGAGTAAAAAATCAGACTTTACATGTTTTGTATGTGAATATAATTAGAAATCGTAGCCTTCAGGCATCATATTTCGCTAATATTTAATTGCGAAATACGAGTACCATGTTTTCAATAATGCATTTACATGTAATTAATTAAGAAAAAAATTGTATTGCATATACGAATTAATTAAAACAAACATAAACGAAATAAAAAAAAAAACGTAATGAAAATCTGCAATTATGCAAAGTAAGAAAACAACACACGAAGCTGCAATCGCCGCTGTAACACCGACAATGGAAGAAACCGCACACACCGCGCACTGTACTTCAATTACAGTGGTAATGCAACGCATTAAATTAAGTTGCAAACAACAAAATATGGAAATTCGTACATGGCAACTCATTAGAATTAATTGACTTTCTATGATCGAGAAAACAATGTGGTAACGAAACAGGCAAGAAAAAAAAAAGCAACAACAACTGCTGCTATTTTACTACTGCGCGCTTTTCACAGCATACATATACACCCATATTGTTTTTTTTTAACATTTCGTGTTGAGTGGTTTGTGGCTTCTGTTGTCTACTTTTGATTATTACTGCTTTGTAGTTTTTGTTGTTTTCTTACTTTTCACGTTAAAAACATTTATTAGTAAGTTAATTTTAATTAAATCTTTGTTGGCTTTATGTTACTTATTTGTTAATGTTTTATAATATAATAAAAATACAATATTGCGTCGAATGCACCACAAAATCAAATTACAGGCCAGCAGTAGCAAAATGGTGGCAGAATTTATTTTATAATATAATGAATGAGCTATAAGATAAACTTGCTTCAAAATAAAATGACAGAAAATAATTTCCCTGTTTTTACTATATATAATAAATGCACTTCAAAAGATAGGAATTGTTTTTAAAATAGATCGTAATAAACATTTTTTGTACTAAACTTGATTTTTTTAATCAAGTTTTGAAATTTTTTTTTATAGAATCTGTCATAACCCGATAAGAAGACTGGTTTCATAAAAATTTTAGGCGCAGTGATATCTATGTGTAAATAATAGTAGGTGGATAGTGTAAACTTCATCTACTTACTATCAATTTTTGAACGAGCTTGACAGGCTGTATTGAAGCTGTACTGAACTTGAACAAATCGACGGTCTGCTAGATAACCGATATGACTGTAGAGTTCTACATTGCATAGACATATAAAAACTTTATAATGAATTTGTAAGGTATGTCAGCCATTGTAACACGTGATAAAACTTGATGTTTCCAATATAAAATGAAAGTAAAGTTATAATACTCTATAAAATTTTGCTAAAGATCTAAAATAGAAAAAGTTATATTATCAGAAGAACGAATCAATATAATTTTAATAGTTTTCTTCGATTCAAAGTGAATTGTTCACAGTGAAATTATCGGAAAAGTTGGATAGTGAACGCAAACAATTCTGGTCAATAAGTATAAAAACTAATTTGAAAAACACGTTGGAGTTTTATATTGATTTAAGAATAAAAATAAAATAAGTAAAAAAAATTATTTGAAACCTAGCCCTCGAATTTGGAAGGTACTTACATTCTAGTTTCTTATGATGGCTGAAAGAAATATCATCTGTAACAATTAATAACTACTGTAATAATCTATTTTATTTAGAGTAAGTTCATATTCCAATTAATAAATCATTAAATAGAGTCTATTAGCAAACCAAACCATAAAATCTGATTTAGTTTATGTCTTCCATGTTGTGTCGACAGTTTTTAGGTTTCCTCTCTTATCAAATATATATTATATATAAAGAATGGTTTACAGAGAAAACAATCAACTACGATCGTTTGTTTAAAATTGAAGTTGTTTTTGAAGTTTGCCACATTTGTCTACAGTACAGACATCTTTTCATCTTTATGTGGAATATTAAAAAATTTTAGCTTTTAAACATAAATTAGTTAATAAAAATAAAATAATAATATGATAATAAAGTAAAATACAAATAAATTAGTGAAAAAATGTTACAATCCAAGCGTATAATTTAATTTAACCAACATAATTGCTTTGTTGTTCACTGTGAGTGTAGATTTCGCTGCTTATAGAATGGCAAAATGCAGCGCAAAAAGCAGTGCCGTAGTTTACGGTTAGAGTATGATATTTTACGGTATATACAACCGCGGTTCTCTTTCTCTCTCTCTCTTTCCGCCTAAACGTATTTAAAATCACTCATACGTCACGTGCAATGATTTATTATTGCACTAATAAATCACTTTTTGCATATCATAAACAATTCTTAATGCGTGTGTGTGTTTTTCTGCATATGTAGTGCATATTATAAAATGCCCTTTATGGTGTCAGATATGTTTCTCCCACTTGATGGGTTCCGCCTCTGTAGAGTTTATAATCGTTGTTGTTGTTCGTTAGTTGCGATTTGATTGTGGTGTAAAATTTGATTGCACTAATTAAGACAAGAAAAAATAAGAAATTGTCGC